GAGACCACCTGAGACCAGTAGAGACCACCTGAGACCAGTAGAGACCACCTGAGACCAGTCAAGACCACCTGAGACCAGTAGAGACCACCTGAGACCAGTAGAGACCACCTGAGACCAGCAGAGACCACCTGAGACCAGTAGAGACCACCTGAGACCAGCCGAGACCACCTGAGACCAGCCGAGACCACCTGAGACCACCTGAGACCAGTAGAGACCACCTGAGACCAGTAGAGACCACCTGAGACCAGCAGAGACCACCTGAGACCAGTAGAGACCACCTGAGACCAGCAGAGACCAGCTGAGACCAGTAGAGACCACCTGAGACCAGTAGAGACCACCTGAGACCACTAGAGACCACCTGAGACCAGTAGAGACCAGCAGAGACCACCTGAGACCAGTAGAGACCAGCTGAGACCAGCTGAGACCAGTAGAGACCAGCTGAGAACAGCTGAGACCAGTAGAGACCTGAACCATGTCTTCAGACTGACTCGACACAGAAGAACAGTTTCAGGTCTTCAGACTCTAACTGTGTTTCTGTCCTCAGAGCTGAAGGATGGAGAGAAACCTGCTGCTGCTGCGCTGCAGACGCTGCCGCAGAGCCGTCCTCCAGCTGACGCCTTCAGCTACGGTTTGTCACCAGCTGAAAGTTTATAACAGCTGTTCATTCTGCAGAACCTTCAGCTGATTCAGCAGAACCTTCAGCTGATTCAGCAGAACCTTCGGCTGATAAAGCATAACCTTCGGCTTTTTCAGCAGAACCTTTGGCTCTTTCACCAGAACCTTCGGCTCTTTCAGCAGAACCTTCGGCTCTTTCAGCAGACGAATTCTGGCACTTCTGCTTTTTGTAGCTTTTAAACGTTTCAGCATCATTTCTTTGAAAACTAAGAACCTCACATGGAGAACTCCTCAGTTCCTTCAGCTGCTCTGTGATTTTTCTCTTTTTAGGCCGCTTTTAGCTGTTAGCCATCTTCCTGCTTCTTTTAGCTGTTAGCCATCCCTCTGCTTTTTTTAGCTGTTAGCTATGCTTCTGCTGCTTTTAGCTGTTAGCCATCCTTCTTCTTTTAGCCATTAGCCATCCTTCTGCTGCTTTTAGCTGTTAGCTATCCTTCTGCTGCTTTTAACTGTTAGCTGTCCTTCTGCTTCTTTAAGCTGTTAGCCATACTTCTGCTTCTTTTAGCTGTTAGTTATCCTTCTGCTTCTTTTAACTGTTAGCCATCCTTCTGCTTGTTTTAGCTGTTAGCCATCCTCCTGCTCGTTTTAGCTGTTAGCTATCCTTCTGCTTCTTTTAGCTGTTAGCCATCCTTCTACTTCTTTTAGCTGTTAGCCATCCTTCTGCTTCTTTTAACTGTTAGTCATCCTTCTGCTTCTTTTAGCTGTTAGCTATCCTTCTGCTTTTTTTAGCCGTTAGCCATCCTTCTGCTTCTTTTAACTGTTAGTCATCCGTCTGCTTCTTTTAACTGTTAGTCATCCTTCTGCTTCTTTTAGCTGTTAGCTATCCTTCTGCTTTTTTTAGCCGTTAGCCATCCTTCTGGTTCTTTTAACTGTTAGTCATCCTTCTGCTGCTTTTAGCTGTTAGCTATCCTTCTGCTTCTTTTAACTGTTAGTCATCCTTCTGCTTCTTTTAACTGTTAGTCATCCTTCTGCTTCTTTTAGCTGTTAGCTATCCTTCTGCTTTTTTTAGCCGTTAGCCATCCTTCTGGTTCTTTTAACTGTTAGCCATCCTTCTGCTTGTTTTAGCTGTTAGCCATCCTTCTGCTGCTTTAAACTGTTAGCCATCCTTCTGCTTGTTTTAGCCGTTAGCTATCCTTCTGCTGCTTTTAACTGTTAGCTATCCTTCTGCTGCTTTTAACTGTTAGTTATCCTTCTGCTTCTTTTAGCTGTTAGCTATCCTTCTGCTTTTTTTAGCCGTTAGCCATCCTTCTGGTGCTTTTAGCTGTTAGCTATCCT